GAGAGGAACCACAGCTCTCTTCCAGTTCCAAATTGGATGTTCCTGGAGCCACTGACTTTTCCCCTCCGCCACCACCCACTCTACACTGAACCCAACTACCCGCAGGCCCCACAGGTTCTGCTGAGTGGCTTGGCACTGAGAGAGGGAAGGGTGAGCTAGCTCTGTGTGGCACAGTCCTGGGGGGGAAGGGACAACCATGGGTTGAAGGGAAGGAGCCCCAGCCTGCCTCCTGACCAGGTTTCAGATGGGCCCTCTCTCCTTGTCTGGCCCTGGATGGTTTGTCTGTCCAGGGACCTGTCATGGGCTGGCACATCTTTCCGGTGTCTTTGAGGGCTTTTCTCTCCCTCTCCTCTACCCAGCATGGCTCCTGAGTGGGCTGCACAAAAAAAGAGTTCTCCCCTAGTAAGACACCTATTTCCACCACCAACATACATATGGAAGAATAAAACCACTCAAGTGATCTGGGGTCTGCCCTGGTGACAAAGAGCCACAACCCTTCCCCCAGGACCTAATTTCTTCCAGTCCTACACCCCCAACCACCCCTAAGGCCCGCATTTTCTGACCGTGACCAGTGATCTGGTCTCATCCAAGTCCCTCCTCCCTTGCCTGACTGGGGCGGAGTCTCCAGGCGCCAGGCAGGCCTGCAGGTGCGGGTCTGTGTGTGTGTGGGGGGGGGGGGCAGCTCAGCAGCTGGTGTATGAGACATTCCCCTCCCCCTCCTGCTCAAAGCCAGAGCCTGCTTCCTGTCATCCCTGTCAGTGCCTCCAGTGGGGGAGGGGACAGGTGGTGAAGGAAGGGGGAAAAGGACTTAACTTGACTGATGTAGCGCTGGGAACCACCTGAGAAAGGGGAGATGAGGAAGAGGCCACAGAACATAGGACAGATGGACAAGCCAACAGGGAACGCAGCCTGCAGGGGTGTGAAAACCACTGGGAAGGTCTCAAGGTCCAGAGAGGTTGAAGACCGTCCCTGACAGTGACAGCAAAAGACCCAGAGAGAGAGCTGCAGAGTGACTGGTGATCCGGGAGAAACTAGAGAAGAGGGACAGAGAGAGACAATGTGAGATAATGAGAGATTATCCTTCAGAGACTTGGAGGGACTTGAAGATGTGGGGCTAGAGGTTGGGTAGAGTGTGTGGGGAGGAGGTGAGGGGAAGTCAGCCCCTATCCCACCCCACATTAAGCCGGTTGTCTTCTAGTTGGTTGTGACTCATGGGGACTCCATGTGTTTCCCAGTAAAACTGTTCATTCCATACATAGGGTTTTCATGGCTGTGACCTTTCAGAAACACATTGTCAGGTCTTTATTTCAAGGTACCTCTGGGTGAGTTCAAACCCCAAAGCTTTCAGTTAATAGGCCAGCACTTAACTGCTTGTGCCACCCAGGAACCCTACAATGGGACTGAGAAAGTGTTACCATCAGAGAGGAAAAGAGTGGTTTCTAGGCAGACTGTACATAGGGACACCAAGAGCTGGAGGTAAGGGTGATACCCCCATCTCCCCACAACTAAAGGGCAAAAGATGAAGAGGGAGAGACTTGGGCCTCAAGTCCTTCTGCCCCTGGCAAGGGACTGGGGGCTGTGAGAGGAAAGGGACATGGATCTGACTCCATTTCCGCCCCCCTCCCTCTCCTGGTCACAGCTAGACACATGCCAGCTGTGGCACCTGCCCTGCCCCACCCCCATTCACCCACTGATTCTGGCCCAGCTTGGGGACTTCTGGACTTGAAGGCCACCCAGGGTCTGGCTTGGGGGTTGGGAGGGGGACTCATACCCAGGTGCTAATCTCTATCCAGCCAAGGCAGTCCTGGAGCCTCGCTGACCTTCTTGGAGATTAGTCCCCATGGTGACTATGACAACTCACCCCCTCATTCTGGCTGGGCCAGGTTGGGAAGGCCAGAGGCTGGGGTGTGGTAAAGAGGGAACCTTCCTGAGGCATCATAGGAGTCAGGGCTGGGAGATCCTTCAGGATCAGCTACCAGTTTATTTACAGAAACAGAGGCTCCAAGATGGGAAGTGATTGTTGCAATGGAGTCATAGAAAGCACAGAACCCTACTCAAGCCCACTCCCAAATGTTCTTTCCAGGAGAGTTGAGGCGTAAGCAACAACAAAAGAAATTAAGATGTGTTTTCCCCACTTTGCTGACCCTCTCCTGTACCCACACAAACTGAGATCATGAATGAGGTATGGCTGGTTTCCCCAGGACCAGGTGTGAGAAGGGGATACAGAGGCCATACCTGATGTCTTGACATCCCCCCACCCCCCACCCCTCACCACCAATCAGGTCCAGCTCCAGCTTGGGAGTAAGGGATAAATATGCAACAAGGCCAGTTATAACCACAACTGTAGTCACAGCATCAGCTAATTCTCATATTTATTGGGTTCCTACTGAAGGCACCATCACCACCATAAACTTTATCAGTATTATTCTTGTTTTACAGAGGGGGAAATGAGACGTAGAGTGCAAATGTAGCCAGCTTCTAAGCAGGGAAACTTGGGTTTGAACCCAGACAGTAAAGCTCCAGAACCCACACTTGAACCCCTTGATGTCTATATGATAATGGTGGGGTGACAGGGAGGAGGCCCCTCTAGTGACTGTGGCACACATATGATTACACATGTGCAACACCCAGCACAACACCTG